TTTGTTTTGGTTTTATATTAGTTGATTGGTTTGATGTTTTTTTTTTTTTTTTTGTATTATCATAATTTTGCTATGTTTCTGTTTTTTGCCTTTCTTTCTTTTTTTTTTTCTTTTTTTTTTTTTTTTAATTGTCTTTGTTATACTCTCTTAGTCTGGCACTCGAATTAACCCTGAGGTTATTAGTGAAGCATCTTCGCTCTTGATGCCTTATCTTTTTACAGGAGAGACATACATAAACCCGACCACATTTCTTATCATCATTACAATTCCGTCGGTTCCAATTGATACAGATTTCTCTATTGTCATACTATGAAGTATCCAATTTTGGAACTCGTGGTCTGTGAACTTTTGCTCTTCTGGTGGTTGTCACATCAAATTCTCTCCTTCTGTCTCAATGTCTTTGTCAAACAACGTGGAATCACGATCTATTACTAATGCTAGATAACGATCTTCATCATAAGCCATGACAGCAGTAAATTTATATTTGATGCAAAGGTTGTTAATATGGTCATGATAAAAATTTAACTCTTGCTCTTGTTCCTTATAAATAACGAGAATAGCTTCAGCATAAGCTTTGAATGCCAGAAGCCATTCAGATATATCATAAAATTTATTGTATATTGGACGTTTTCTAATAGATATAATGCCTCCTTCAGATGTTTGTAATAGAACTTCTTCATAGTTAAACTTTGCACTTGCTTTTATATTTTTGTAGGTGAAATCTTGGAGGTCTATATAAGATCCAAGTGCGATTGATTTCCATAGCCGTGATGTTAGACTTGGCTTACAGGGTAACATCTCAATTATTTTCTGCCTGTCTAACCAGTTTGATATCCACCACAACCTTTTGCCTTCTACTTTTGCGGCAAATGGGTTTGAAAACCCTTGTACTATCGGAAACTGTTTTATTGGTGAGTAATCTATTGATTGGTATTTGCGGACCTTGTGTCTTATTATTGACAGTACATTATCTGCACTGGATGCAGTGTCTTGTGTCATCAGATTTACTATCCTTCTGTTGAATGTAGGAGTAGGTGGATAATTACCTGGAATAATATCATCTTTTGTTCCTGAAGATGAGTATATTGTTACAGGTGTTGTGAGATTGCTCTGCTCTTCTTCTGTAGGTTGGTTGTTATTAAGATTTGGTTCACCATCTATTAATCCAGCTTGTTCTAGTTTATTAAGACATTCATTTATTGTGGTTTGTATTTGCTCATTCTATTGTTTTTGTTTTTCATTTTGCTGGTTTATCAGTTCTTTCACTTTTTCTATGAGGACTGCCATAGTTACTTGATATGCACTGTCAATGTGCTTCTTAATCTGCTGGTCTATATCCTGTGCTGGTTCTTTAGGATCGTTATCTATTTTTTTTTTTTACATTGAAGAACTTCCTTGTTTCCAGGCTTGTTACCAGGTAGTCTTCGTTCGTTGTTTAGTGTATTTATGCCTCCCTTGTCCTACTGCTATTGTTTGTTGCAGTATTGTCTTTATGTTGCCGGCATGTGTTATTTGCATATGATTCTCACCTTCAATCGACTTCCTTATTGCGGGTTTGGTATAACAACTGCCCTGTTTCTGGTATTTGTGGTGAGTTGTGTGGCCGCTTCTCTTTTTGATCATGTGATCTACTATCACTTCGCAATAATTGGTGATTATTTGACACACAGATAATTAGTCACACCCTGAAATTTAATAAAAATTTAGAACTCAGAATTATTAAATTTTATTATACTATATTACAAATGTATTACATATGTTAAATTAATTAATACAAAAAAAGAATCAAATAAATAAAACTATCGAATCGTTATTTTAAATACAACTTATTTTTCTTAAAAATGAAATGATACAATTTTTGGCGCATGAAACCTTTGATCGAATATTAGAAACTTTTATTCGTGAAAGGAAAAACAATTGCTGTTTAATAGATCAGAATAATTATAATCAATGTTATTTCTTTTAAAGCAATTCAAACTTTCAAGGTAAATATTCAGAAATTAATCAAATATCTACTTAATAATAACAGTTTTGCTCAAATTCATTTGAAAAATTTTCTCAATAAAGTAACTTGTCTCAGAATCTATATTTACAATATTATATAGTTTACAAACTATATACTGATATAGGTTAAAAAACCTTTCTTATGTTGCAATATATTTCTTATTTCCTAACTGATATGTTAAAAATACAAATTTTGTTGTTTTTACATTTTTTTACTAATTAGTACTATATACACTCCATATAATTACCTTTTATATTCAACTCGATATAAGCACTATTACCTAATTTTATAAATATATATGAATAAATTGTATTGTATAAACAGTCTAGTTATATAAGGTTATTTATATAATACTTAAAATTGCAAACACTTTTAATTTATAAATTTTGTCACAATATTCATTATTTATTTTAAAATTTTTTTTGAACATCTATTAAAGAAAGTTGAGCTTTTAAAAGGTTTAAAATTTTTTTGTGCTATAAATCCAAATTTTTATTTAAAATAACTCACAACCCTAGTAGTTTTTTGAAATAAATCAAAATTTTTATTCAAATAACCTAAAAATAGTCAAAATAAATCAAAATTGTTACTTTGAATTGAAATAATATTTTTGTGTCTCTGCTAGAGGTGATGAATGACATAAATTTTATATGACAAGTTTAAGGAAAATTTGAAAAAATGAATTTGATTTTATTAATTATTATATCTACCTATTTCTTTTTTTAACATATTTGTTCAACATTATCCAATAATTTGCATTACTCACTAGATATATCTAATAAGTCTAACAAAGAAGGACCGGCAAAATAACAACAGTAATTTTGAAAAAAATTTAAGATTCAGAATATTCAGAGGATATTATAAAGAAGCTTGTTGAAAAATAGACGACTGCAATTTTATATTTCATTGGTTAAATTAATTTCATCAAAAGTTTCATCAAGAGTTTCATCAATTATTAGTAGTTTCGTCAAATTGCAAGTTTTGTTAAACAAAACTATTGACGAAACCATTTCATTAGGCATCATTAGTGGAGACATGCTTGAAAACAATAAAAGAGGTATGCCTTAAGTTGAGATATGACCCAAAATATTTTTCATGATATCTACTCTAGAGATAATCCAGAGAGTGTGTATTTAGAGAGGTCTTTAAGTATACACATTTTTTAAAATTTATGAATTTCTTATTATCATATTATTTATTATTCCTATATCTGGATTACTATGTATACAAATTTTTGATTTACATTGATTCAAATAAAATAGGCAGGCAGCTAAATTACAAAAAAAAAAACTTTCACCATGTT